ATATATATATATATATATATATATATAATGAAACTTGTACACTATCAGAACACAAGGTTGATAAGTAACAGTAATCAATGCGGTCTCAGTGAATCATCATCACATCATAATCGTGAAATAATTTAGGATTGTTTTTGGTCCATTGAAACATTTGATCAGTTGGTGAAAACTCTGATTTCGACTGAAGAGCCAGGATTGTTTTTGGTCCATTGCAACATTTGATCAGTTGGTGAAAACTCTGATTTCGATCGAAGTGAAGAGCCAAAACAATGATCCGTTGCTTATCATATCATGTTGCTTTTTTCAATGTGTTCATTGTTTGCACTCCGGAGAGGGGGGCCAATTTCACCCCTCCACACACGCACAAGTCCTCTCAGTTGTGTTACTTGCTCTCATGTGCTAGTCTGCCAGCAAAATTGTGAGCGCCTCCTTTTTGGGCAAAGAAGAATACCATATTTCTCTCCTGCTTGTCCCAGAGTAAAACAACTTCTTTCGCGGCATGTCATCCTCTCTCTGGGTATTGTTTATGGGCCTGTTTTACTGTGTGTAAAGCAAGCACGCATTAGCAGAGCCAGAGACGCGTGCCGGCAGTGCAGTATGGTTGTACTATGGTAACAGTAGTACAGTTCTACCATGTTCTACCGTTAGGTGGCATAAATCACCTGGACAGCAAACCGAATGGTTTACGCGGCTCGGTTTTCCCCCGGTCCGAGGTGGAACGTCGAAAGCTATGGAGTGTGTGTGTGTGTTGGCCAGAAACACTGAGATAAGATGAAGGATATTTTGAAGAAATTCAACAAACGCCTATTGCGCTTCTTTTATGACGACTCCTGACAGAGGTTTGGATAATCGTGTACTTAATCAGGAGAGCAAATCTCAGACTGTAACTGTGGGAGGCATATGGTTAATGAGGCTACATATCGAGTATATTTCAAGTCCTAGTTTGAGAATCCTGGGGGCTTCACACAGGGTTTTACACTTTGTTCGTCACATTTCAATTCATCATTATCTCATAAACAATAAAATGAGGGAAAAATAACCAAAATGCAGAAATGCGTATCCAAAAAGTTCTCTTGATTCCCGGATCTGTGAATGGTATCTAGGTTTAACGCACTATAGAGGGTACGTATGCGTTTGATTACTGATTTTGAGGTTTTTTAACTCTTGGTTCATTAGGAATATGCAGCAAATATGTGCGATGTATGAGGACATAGGAGTGACGTTACGCGTGTTTGCAAACGTGCCATTAATGATGTCTTGTGTTTATTTCCTGCCGCTGAACTGTTTTTTCGCTCACAATATGTGCATTTTCCCACGCGCAATTTGGTCGTTGGAACCAATTCAACCATTCTAGAACTTGCAAAGTACAGTATGAAATCTGGATTTAAGACTTTAGTTAACAAGCGGAAACAAAGGCGTTACTGTGAACAGTCAAATCCCTCTTGTACCAAAAATTTGTGGCGTGTCACTAGTAGACTAAGATAGATATTCAGTTTTTTTGAAATATCTATGAATTCCTTGCCATCAGCAGGTTAAGGGGAAAAATCACGGGAATTAATTACACCGAAGAACCGCACCAAACGAAGGAAATCACAAAATAAAACTTCTAGGCATTGCCCAGGGCAGATACCAGTGTTTCTGAGCCGCAGTGTTTATGCCATGGAGCATTAGCCCTTGCACCCATCGCGTTTGCCTTTATCCGCTATCAATTCCTGAACTCACACCTCATTTATGTGAGTACAAACTTGGAAGTTGTGGATATATCGTGTTTTTGGATCGTGAAGTTGAAACAGCTTGTCAGCAGTGCCTGAGTATGGGATGGCAAACAAAGTTAAATTTAGAAGAATAATTAGTACTCTGTACTTATTTGTTTCGTGAGATGGGCATGAGATTTCTAGGTGCTCTCGTTTTTTGAATTTACTCGAACCAGAGTAGTGGCTAGCATGCCCCTGTATAGGACAAAGTACTGTTTTTTCGTGCAGGCAAGTTCCATGAAAGCCCCTATAGAGTTCACTTGGCCCGATCTAACAAAGCATTCAGACTGTCGGTCTGTGTATGGAAAGTCCCAGAAAACTTCATCGACCAGAAAAGCGCTTATCAGAATAATTAACATTATTGGCTTCCAACACTAGCGGAACCGTTAAGACTAACTTAAAGTTTCAGGTT